AAAAAAAAAAAAGCCCAGCAGGAACTCATTAGCATAATTAGCCACACCCAACAGCAGAAACTCATTAGCATATTAGGCCACACCCCTGACAGCACAGGTCATTAGCATATGAGGCCACACCCCAGTGTTACCAGAAGTGTGGTCATCCAGCCACACCCACCTTTTGCTTCTTATTCTGTTGACCTTGTTTGTTGTCAAAACCTAGGGCTTTTTTTGTAGCAGGAACTCCTTTGCATGTTAGGCCACATACCCCTAATGTAGCCAATCCTAATGAGTTTCTGCTGTTGGGTGTGGCCTATTATGCTAATATGTTCCTGCTTGGCGTGGCCAACTCGGGAGCCAGCCGGAACTCCGTTCCTGTGCGTTCCTGCCCCAAAATAGCCCTGGTTCTATCATTAATGTTGGAAGTTTACCTGCTTGGCGCAGGGGAGTTAGCCTTAGTTGATACTCACTGCTTACGGAGTCCCAGAACTGAGGGGCAGGGCTATTCCCAAGGCGCCAACAGAAAGGAGAAAAAAGTATTTCCCGCCTCCCTAAAGGAACGATGGGAATAATCCATGGAGATGTCCTCCTAACCTCAGAGGAGAAGGACCCTTCACGGTAAGTGCTAAAGGTCGTTTTCCAAAGTATGGCAGGGACAGGCAAGGCAGCCTCCTAGCCAGCCCCAGGTGAGCTGTGAGTGTGGCTTGCCAGGCAAGGGAGCCCCAGCCTCCCCTGATGTCTTTGGTCTCAAGAAAGAGAGGACGATGACCCAGGGTGCTCACCATTCCTCCTTCCTTCTCTGTGCAGCCTCACACAATGTGGCTAGCAATATATCATCAACAAGCAAAGAAAACATGCTTTGTTGACAGTAACCATGAAATTGGACATCAGTAGGCATCTTGGAAGAGGAGAAAGTCAGAACCGATCGATGCATGGGTTTGGCATTCGGTTGTCTACTGTCTACGATATTAGGCACAGAAAGCAAATCTGATGAGATTTAGCATCCAGTTCTGAGACAAACAAAGCAATAGAGAAATGCTTTAATGTTATAATTTTTTACTTGAGGAAACAGACGGTCTATTAATTATCGCATCTGATTAATCGGCAGCCCCTATTCCATATGAGTGCCATTTAACCATGTTTTTGCTGTAATTGGTATTGATGCTTTTGATTACTGCTCATATAAAATATTATGTAAAATTTAGTCTGTACACTTCCCTTTCTGGGCCTTTTCCGGAAAATAGCCACAGCTTTAATTATGGGTAATTCTGGCTAACTTCTGACCCTAGCCGTATTTCTCCCCTGTTTTTTACAATTCCATTGCTCTAAAAAAGCTTGATTTAATTAAATACTGACCTAGTATGGAAAGCAGCTGGTTAAGAAATGAGTTTATCCACCATCACCAAATAGTGTAAAATTAAGTTTTATGTGTAAATGATGAAAAGAAATTCATGCACATTTATTTTTATGTCGTAGAGAACAACATTCTGATGCAAAATGACAGATAAACTTTGGGTTGAATCCAGCCAATTTTTACTCAGTCTTGGCCAATTCCCTTTCTTGTTATGGACCCCTGTTCCAGGTGGCTTTTGTCTGCAGGTCCCGTGATTCCAAACATCGCCTTTTCAGTTAAAGAGAATCCTGATTATTTTTGTCAGTGGAACAGCTGGTTTGGTTCCTGCTGTTCATACTTCCACTGAGAATTGCTGGGACACACTAAAATAAAACCATTCCTGAAAATTCTAGGCACCACAATGAAATTTCTAAGCACCTTGGCAAACTGGCATGTTGGATATGTCAAGCCCTGCATTGGGGTACCTAGGACTCATACCCCAGCTGAAGTCTCTTTTTCTTGGCCTTCATTCCCTGGTCATTACTATGAAAGAGAGGAAACATTAGCCAGATATGCTACATTCCCCTTCTGACTAGCTTGCTTCCGAAAAGCACCTTTAAAGTGTTCCTGAGTATTTTCTCTGATTAGTGATGTCCTCCATAGGAAACTTGTTAATGAATACTGTAAAACTCATTTGCCATCCTCCAAATATATGTGTACCTTCTTTGTATCATAGAAATTTATTTCTCAAAATAATCTGTCTAATTTATGGTTATTAATTTGCCCAAGAATTCTCCTCTCCCGTCCACTCTTCCTGAGCCCTTGACAGCTAGTGAGGCTGCTGCTAAGAAAAGCCAAATAAAAGCTAGGTGAGTATAGTTGCTTTTAAGTACTACTTGTGTAATAGTAATACCGTATTGTGTTTTCTAGCAGCCTGATAGCCTGGCCTATCTCATCAGAGTTGGAAGCTAAGCTGTGTTGGCCACAGTCAGTGCTTGGATGGGAGATCACCAGGGAAAACTGGGGTTGCTATGCAGAGAGAGGCAGTGGTAAACCACATGTGCACCTCTGTTGTCTTGAAAACCCCCAGGGCTTTGGGGTCGCCATGATTCAGTTGCAACTTGACTGCACATTATTATATTGCATTTTAAGAACTTTTCTATAAACATAGTTTTTTATTCTTCAAAAGGATGTTGCTTATTTTTATATTTAGAAAGCAATGTGTATATCAGGTCTTCGGCTGCATCTGTATTCAGTTCTCAGTCTTGGTCTTGTCTGGCCTTTCTTCCCTGGAGCAGCTAACCTGGGTATAATGTCAACAGTGAATAATAATACCAGTTCTGAAATTCACTAACAGCCTTCATCATCCGAGAATAAAACATTTTCCAAGCAAAGACGCATATGCCCTGCAATCAAAGGCAAAAGCCTGAGAGAAGAGAGACGTTGGCCTGGTGCCTGCACTTAGGTATATTGGGTTTAACTTTAGATGTGGGAAGGAAGCTCTCACAAATGAGAAGCCTCTGCAGAAAAGGCCCTGTCTCTGGTGACAGCACACCTCTCTTTAGAGAAGAGTCTTGTTAGCTGCCCCACACAGGTCCATTTCCTAAATCCATAAATATCTGTTGGGCTGGTTCCTATGGGAGTAACCAGTCTTTTAGATATGCTGGCCCCAGGCTCTTTAAGGTTTGCAAGGTATTGTGATTTCAAGTCAGCATGGTGTAGTGGTTAATAAGAGCACTGGATGCTAATCTGGACAACCTTTGGTTCCCTTCACCTCCACATGAAGCCTGCTGGGTGATTTTGGGCCAGTCCCAGTTCTCTCCGAACTCTCTCAGCTCCACCTACCTCACAAGGTGCCTGTTGTGGGGAGAGGAAGGGAAGGTGATCGTAAGCCGCGCTGAAACTTCTTAGAGCAGAGAAAAATGGGGTATGAAAACCAGCACTTCTTTTAACAAATGCAGTTCTTTTAAAACTGGTAATACGTGCTCCTGATAACTGATTTCAGTCAGCATCTTAGCTGCTGTGTTCTGGACCAACTGAACCTTTTGAGCAACCTTTGAAGACAGTCCAACATTGTGACGTGGTAATTTAATACTGCATATGCATTCCTCATGTTTTGTGAGAATGCTCACCTAGCTGTGAAAACCATGTTGGTTATAGTTGGCAGACTTTCATCCAGTTCAAGGAGTGCACTAGAAGTCTGAACATACATTTGCGTCCTTTTTAGCTTTTCAAAACATGTTGACGCATTAAATTCCTTATGATACCTACTCACTGAATGCGAATCCCTTCCACCCACACTCGGTTTCAGCAGACTTCCATGTAGATTATTGTCAGCCAAAGTTGGCAAGGCCAGCATGGAGGAAAACTGCTTGACATAAGGGGTTTAGTTAAATGAGAGTACTCCAAACAGCAATGTCTGCATAGTTCGCTATAGAATAGTGTACCCCAAGTACATTTCAGGGAGAGATCATTAAATGTAGAAAACCAGACAGGAAATCAATTTGATAATTTCTTTTGACTTTTATAATAGATTGGACCGAAGGTATCCTTGCACAAGCAGAAACCTGTGAATGCAGCTCCTATGGGGGTGTGTCCTAGTTACACAGGTTTTCCACATAAGCTTCAGTCCCTGTCTCTCCCCATGCTGTTCTTGAGGTTCCCCTGAGCCTTAGACAATTTATCATGTAGGGAGGGGGGGGACTACAGAAAAGGGGGGGGGATGGGAAATACGTTGTGAACAGAGCTCCACAAGTGACTTCGGATCCAATCCAGTGTGTTGGGGGGGGATGTCAATTAAACATTCAGGCTGGTTCTGAAGCTGTCAGTTCCGTAAGCTGCCTTTCCAGCAATATGTCTGCTTGCTGCCCTTGAGGTCTTGTCTGGATTTCTGTGGGTTGATCAGCTCTGTCAGCTGGTGAGGTTGGTTCTGCCTCCTTCCGCTTGGAGGATGGGGTGGCGCACTACTTATCATCTGATCTTTTGGCTCCCTGGTTCTGTGGCTAACCCTTGTTCTGCTGTGTCGCAGTCTTTTAAAAAGTGAATTAAAAGTGACAAAGGCAGGGGTGGTGTTTTTCCCCCTTTAAAAAAATCAACACCATTAGCATCTTGACTACTGAATGGCTCAAATCATTTTGCCAGCAGTGTCTGTGGAAACTGAATGCTAGAATAATTTTCTTGGTAGTTTGAAGGCAGGTATAATGGAAGGAGCTGCGGTGGCTCAAGTGGTTAAGACGCTGAACTGCAGGCTGTAGAAGGTCAGTAGTTCAGCAGTTCGAGACCCGGGTTGCCGCATGACGGAGTGAGCTCCCGTCTCTAGTTCCAGCTCCTGCCAACCTAGCAGTTTGAAAGCAAGAAATTGCAAGTAGATAAATAGGTACCACTTCGGTGGGAAGGTAACAGTGTTCCGTGCGCCTTGTTGTTTAGTCATGCCGGCCACATGACCATGGAAACGTTTTTGGACAGCGCTGGCTCTTCGGCTTTGAAACGGAGATGAGCACCGCAACCCTAGAGTCGGATTCGACTGGCTTTCGAGCAAGGGAACCTTTACCTTTATAACGGGGAACTTAAGTAACAGCGTGACATTAAACAGCCCCACTTAAAACGCCTGATCCCCTAATGTCTTTTTTACTTCTTTAAAGAGTAGGTGATGCTATTTAAATGTTATTTCCCAAACTGAGGCTCTCTGGGGGAATCCCTTTCCCAGTTCTTGAATCTCTTCCTCCAGCATGCCATACTCTGTTAAGACAGGTGAGCAGGGAAATTTCCTCATCTTCCTTGGAAACCCCTCCTCCAACACTCTTGATGGCTATCAACATTCTGAGGACAGTGAACATGCTCGGTCCTTATCAGGTATTGGGGGTGGGTGGGTGGAGGAATAAATTATCTGGAAATTCCCCCTACACCCCTTTCCCCTTCACTTAAAGATTTTCTGATTCCTCAGGGACATTCCATTGCCCTCTGTTTTTCTCCCCTTTATCTGGCCCTTAACAGTACCGAATATTCTGTTTTTCCAGGGGCCTGCTCAGTCCTCTGCAGGTTGTAGGATTTTTTTGCGTGTGGACTTGGGGGTGTTTATCTCCTCTTGGTTAACTTACAGACTCTTTGTGTTCTTTCATTCCTCCAATACAACCTATGTGTATAGAAACATGACTTATATGAAATGATCTGACCCGGTTCTGTTGTTTCTGTGACTGCTATGAGCTGCCTGCTTTGCTATTATGCACAAGGAAAAAACAGAGAAGTCTACAGAAGTAAAAATGTAGCTAAAGATAGTATTCTTGGAGCATCACATGGAGAATAGGAATGAAGGTACCTGTTGGGGGCAATAGAGAAACAGCAACGTTCGTGTTTGAGCCGAACGATGTATAAAAGGGCTTCCTGCCTGGAAGTAGAATGAAAACCCACTTCTCATATTCATTTCTGTGTCTGGCACACTTGATTAGGCAGTGTTTGTTTGGCTTGCTGTAGATACAGAGTAGCAATATAGTAGCTCTATAAACTAAAATGCTTGAGGCTCATCAGGCTTTAGAAAACAGCCTGCCATTCCCTGTTCCCCTCCAGTGGTTTAATTTTGTGGAAACCTGTGGATAGGATTATTGTCACACCAGATGTACAACTCTTTCTAAAGTAGAAAATGTGCTAAACGGTATTAAGAGTGTCAGTTACTCTGTCGCTGCTTGGAATGAAGAAATGGTACACAAGCCCCCTCTTGTGGTGTATGTGAATATTGATAAAATGTATGAAATGAAATCATGCCAAGTACAGAACTCCTAAACATTAAAAATAGAAACACGAAAGTGTGTTTGTGTGTGTGGGTTTACAGGTAACATTCCTACAAGGTGTGCTTCTTAAAGATGAGTGCTGAAGTACACGTTGGAGAAACGTTTCACATCTCTTCCTTTATAGAATAACAGATGCCATTGGACCAACAGAAACCTCAATAGCACCACGACAAAGACCAAAGGCCAACACAAGCGCTGCCACCTCGAGTGTGCTAACAATCCAGAGCTCAGCAACACCAGTCAAAGTGCCAGTCCCTGGTGATTTCAACAGTGGGCAAAAAGGTAACTGGCCAGAAATAGCTGCCATAATTAACCCGGAGAATAATTTTTGTTCTAAGATCACAATTACATCTTCTGAGAATTTAAAGAATTATAGGTAAACAACCAACAAAATGACTGAATCTGAGGTGTTTTGGAAAAGGAAGTATGCATAATTTGGGTTTTAAAAAAAATTATTTGAAAGAGGTACAAATGCATATCCTGCCATGAGGTAATGTTATGATAGTTTGGAAAATACATATGGTCAGATTCAGTCTTTCACTATTCCAGAACATAGAATCATAGAGTTGGAGGAGACCTCCAGGGTCGTCTAGTCCAACCCCTGTACAGTGCAGGAAACAATGTAGGGAATTCACAAATACCTTCCCCCCATACCCCCAGTGACTGCTGTTCCATGCCCAGAAGAGGGTAAACCGCCGCCCCCCAGGATCCCTGGGCAAACTGGCCTGGAGAAAAATTGCTTCCTGACCCCAAAATGGCAGTCAGCATTTCCCTGGGGGTGTAAGAAAGGGCCACGAGAACTACGCACTGATGCAACCCTTCCTGCCCTCACTTCTGGTGATCTGCCTAAATTCACAGGATCAGCATTGCTGTCAGATGTCCATCTAGCCTCTGTTTAAAAGCCTCCAAAGGAGGAGAGCCCACCACCTCCCGAGGAAGCCTGTTCCACGGAGGAACCACTCTAACTGTCATGAAGTTCTTCCTAATGTTTAGCCGAAAGCTCTTTTATTTCAACCCATTGGTTCTGGTCTGACCTTCTGGGGCAACAGAAAACAACTCTGCACATTAAAAAGTTGGTTCAAGACATGCATCTGTGAAAGGATTATCACTGCAGAGGGCGATTTGTCTGTTTCCCTCTGCTGGTGTATTTTGCCAGCAGGTGAGAAGACTTTTTTGTTCCCTTTGGCATACCCTCCCAATAAGTTACTGGCCCTCCTTCCTGGTTCTGGTATTTGTGTTTGTATTGAATTATTGTGTAATTTTAAATGTACTTTTAATATTTTAATAGTTTTAAATATTTTATATTCACTGCTTTGGGGACTCTGGGTGGAAAGCTGGCATTAAAATATTTAAAATAAGTATAATATGTAAATTTAGTCAGGCATGCTATCATCCATGCTTTGTATACCTGCTCTGAGGCTGGTTCCATACTGGGATTTTCTCCCCATGCCCCCATTTTATTTAGTGGTTTCTACATGATGCTGTGCTTTTTGCTACCGCAGTTTGTGGGGCTCCCAAGGCTTTCCCTTTTAAGGTGGAGCAAAGAAAACCTCTGCTGCAGGCAGAGCTTGTGTGTGGAAAAACTCTACCTGCCTCCGGCCAATTTAGAGGTGGTGTGCTGCTCAGCTCTGGCATTCCTCTTCCCACCTTAGCCCTCTAACAGGGCTGTTAAAAAGAACACCTCAGCTGCATGGCTGACCTGGGGTGGGAAAGGAGGGGATGCCAGGTTGTGGTGCGGTGCCCCTACCTGATTGTCATCAGGTCAGTGCTTCTGCACTAGTGTGATGGGCAGGAAGGGGGTGGGGAAGGGGGCATTATCAGCAGCGAGTGGGGTGTGTGAATGCTTCAGTCTCACTTGCTGTTTCTTGCGCTGCAGAAGCAGCTTTTCCCACTCCTGTGGGAAAGCAGCCAGAGACACAGCGGTAAGTTGCGTACCCTTCTATGAGTAGCTATTCTCAGGCTAGAGGGAGAAACTTCAGCCTTTGCCAGTGGCATGGTAGGATATAGGCCAATAAAAACCATGGTGTGTATCCAGCCACTTGATTCTTCTAATGTCATTTCTGTTTGTGGAAGAGGGGTAGCAGCTTCTGCCGATTCTCCCTTCCCGCAACTGCAGACCTCCATTTTTGTCCTGACTTCCAGTGAGAAAAATTCAGGGGGCTCAAGGGGCTGCAGCGGGAGGAGGAAGCCTGGATGTTTGGATCTATGCCAGTGGGCTGGATCTTGTGCTCTGCTGTGGAGCCTTGTGCTGGTATGAAATAAAAGCAGCAAACAGTATAAAACGCATAAGGACACAGCATTAAAAATACATTCACAAAAGCAAAATGCTTCAACTTGCATAAGCAGCTGATGCTATTTCTATGGTGGTCTTGAAGTTCTAGTAGTTTCTCTGTAGGAGCGTTGATGCCTCAATTTGTCACTTTGGTAGGCTGTTTGTAGGCTTGGCCCCCGACCCAGACAAACAGATGTCAGAACCGGGGGGAGTCTCATGTGGCTTAAGTAAAGGGAAACCTTGCAAAAAGAACCTGTAGAGGGGAGTCCCACGTCCCATTCTCTGCTCCTCTGAGGTCCCTCCTGTGATGAGCAGTGTTCCCTCTAGGCTGAGTCAGTGTGAGCTAGCTCACAGTTTTTTAGCCTCCGGCTCACACATTTTTGTCTTAGCTCAGGAAGGATGACTCCAGAGCAAACTAATACATGCAGTAGCCAAATCGCTCGCTCACAACTTTAATGCCAGTAGCTCACAATGTAGAATTTTTGCTCACAAGACTCCACAGGTTAAAGAGAGCATTGGTGATGAGTAGGCTTGGTTTCCTTTCCTGGATGCCACCATCAGTCAGGAGATCGGGGCTGGTCTTGGAACAAAAAGTGCACCCTGTGTCCTTTTTGGCTTCAGGCTTCTTTCCCTGGCTACTGCTGGTTCAGTGAGCTCAGGGAAGGAAGAGTGGTGGATACACTTTTCCCTCCAACCCCACTCCACCTCACTTCTCTTGTTTTAAACTCTCCCATTTGTTTCAGGGGCTTTTTTTTGGTGTGTGTAAACCTGAGGATTTGCCCAGGTTTGTAGAAAGATCTGCCCTTTCCGCACAAAAGCTTGCACCTTGGGGCCAACTTAGGAATTAGATATATGTATTTGCTGTTTCCCTCTTAGTTTGTAGCTTAAATTGGAAGAGTTTAATGAGTGATGTACAGAAAGATGTCTGTGTTTAGACTCTGAAACACAATCAGCAGGTAATATACTTTGAATATATCCCCAGGGGTCTCTAAACCTGGAAACAGTCAAGAGAGTATGCTGTCCCAAGGAGCTAATCAGCCTCCACAGCAAAACAGGGTACTGCAACAGCTACAACAAGGAGACTGGAGACTGCAGCAGTTGCATCACCTACATCACCAGCAGCAACAGCAGCAACAATTGCTTCAGGATGCATACATGCAGCAGGTACTAGCTGTGAAAGAAACTGTCTTCAAACTTGCCTCTTGTGACCTGTATAGTCTGTAAACGTGCTGAACTTGTCACTTGGTTTCCTAGGACAATATATAGATGAAACATTTTTTGGGTTGAATGATTAATTGAAGTGAATAATCATTCAGTAGTTTGAAGTGTAAGGTCATGCATCTGGAGGCAGTTAGCAAAAAAGCTGCGGTCATCAAAACAAGAAGGCTGTTGGGATTGTGCAAAGTGAGGGCAGCATCCAAAGAAATGGGCAAGTTGATCACGCATGAAGTTGCCTTATACTGAATCAGACCCTTAGTCCATCAACATCAGTGTTGTCTACTCAGACTGGCAACAGCTGTCCAGGGCCTCAGGTAGGAATGCACCCCCGAAAATGGCCCATTCGGACCCTTTTCGGGCTGCTGCAGGCTGATTCAGATTCTCTGATCTGAATCGGCTTGCCGCCAAATTTTGGCGGCAATTCGGCCTCATTATATCCTATGGGCCATTGAAGTCAATGGCAAAAACATAGGGTATATTCTGGGGGCTGGAGGGGAGGGGGTTACTTTTTCCCCACCATAGAGAACAATGGAGGGGATAGGGGCAACCTGTTTGAGGGCCTGTAGATTTGGACCCCCTGGTCCAATGTTCTTCAAACTTGGTTGATATCTTGGGGAAAGGCTCCAGGAGCTACCCTGCGAGTTTGGAGCCTCTCCCTCAAACTCCTTCCCTCCAGCTCCCAGAATATACCCTATGTTTTCACCATAGGATATAATGGGGCTGAAATTGACATTCGGCTGGCGAAAGACTCCCAAATCAGCTTGCACTGACGAAACTGACATGCGGAAATCTTACTTCTGCCTGATTCGGCTGAATCTGAATGGGACGAATTTTTTTTTTTTTGCACACCCCTAGTCTCAGGCTTTCTTCCACATCCCCTACTGCCTGGTCCTTTTAACTGGAGATGCTGGGGATTCAACCGGCGACCTTCTGTATGCCAAGCAGAGGTTGTACCTGTAAAGAAGTTGTAACTCCAGGGACTCACTCTGATAGTGCTCTTCATCCTGGCTGTGGGCTATTTGCTGCACAAGGGAGGGAACTCCACATTCGAATAATAAACAGTTCTCTTTATTTACTATATCCAAGGATGAAGCAGGAGAGGAGACAGGAAAACAAGATAACAGTCCTGTATTTAGTGCAATTAAAAGCCAAAATTTCACGGCAGTTACCACAAGCAACAATCCAAGCCTTCAAATGAACTCCTCATACAAGGCTCCTGAAGAGGGACGAATTCCAAAGGTCTCTCAGCTCTCCTCCAGTTTCTTGCTTTGCCTTCTCTGTCTGATGACTAACGGCTGATAGTAACCACACCAACTTACTCCCTCTCTATCCACCCCACTTATTAAGCTATCTCAGCCTTAATTGACCACAGCTGTTACTACCACGCTAAGAGTTTACTCTACCCTCCACAGGGCCTAAAGAAAAGAGGAAATCATAAAAGGCTTGAACACTGCTGCCACACCCAAAACCCCATACACATAACACTTAATCCTTTACAGTACCACTAAACCAAAGTTCCTCCCCAAGTGCTCGAGGATGATTGGTATACATTTATCCCTGAATATACTTTGCCAAGATTCAGCAGATGAGTTTTTCACTGGAAAGGAATTTTCCCTGGCATGTGGGCTAGTGATTTTTTAGTTTCAGTACATGTTAAGTTTTTGGTTGCTTTTTAGTCCTTTCTGAGGGTGCATATGTTCATGGCACACTTATTTGGGTGTCTGGGGCGTTGCAAAAGGAAAGACTGTGCATGGTTCTGCTCTTCTGTTGAATGACAATTCAAAATGCCTTTGTCTCTCTCAACTTAGGTTGAAAGAATTATGTAATAATTTATTCTTAACTGGCTTCTCACTCAAGTGCTGCTGATTTTTTTGCCAGGACAGGTTGTGTTCACTTGAGTAGATAGCATGATTTAACAAGACTCTGTCTCCTTCGAAATGCAGTATCAAGCAATGCAGCAGCACATGATTCAGCAGCAACTTTTGATGCAGTCTGTGTACCAGCAGCAGCCTCCCCCATCCCAGTATCCTGTCATGGTAAGTTGTTTTTGAATAGAGGATAAACACAGATACAGGGAAGTCAATCATATTAACAACCTAAAATAGCATGAATGCTTTTCTGAGATTGATTTTGATTGCTGCTTTAGTTCCTGCATTTTTCATATGTTCTTTGGTGCCTGCTCAAGCACTGAAATAGGAAGACAAAGCCAAAACCTTAGCATACTGTGTGAGTGTAGGTACAGAATGGGTTAAAACGTCAGCTATTTAACTCCCATCTTGAGAGACATGGATATTTTATGTTGCATATGCCATATGGTGTTTTATTTTTCCTATACTGTGTTCAGCTTATGAAACAGTAGTAATTACCAATGAAATGCAAGGTGTTTGCAGTGTGTAGGTAAGCAGTGCATTTCTTGAAGGAGTTATAATGAAAGCTTTAAATATCTGTGCTAAAATACTTTTAAGAATACATAGATTTGTAGAACTTGGCTTGAAATTCATTGTAAAATGTCTGTGTGCTGGATTTAAAATCTTAGACTTTTTAAACTATTCACTGGTTTTACTATCAGTTAATATAAGCAAGTGGCTTTTTCCCAATGAAATCATTTTGGCATCTCTCACTGATTCAGGCAAATTGATTAAAATCATTTATTTCCAATTAGATATATCCTCCATGAATCCATCTGTGGCTACTAGCCATGGTGACTGAGGACATTCAGAGGCACTAAACCTCTGAATCCCAGAGCCAGAAGGCAACATCAGGGGAAGTTCTCAGCCTCTATGCCCTGTTGTTGGCCCTCCAGAGGAACTGGTTGACTGCTGTGTGAGACAGGATGTTGGACTAGATAGACCACTGGTCTGATCCAGCAGGGCTCTTCTTATGTTCATTTGTATGCTTTAAAGTATTAAATATTGTATTTCATATTCAGATAATAAATGAATCTCTGCGTTAAGCTGACATACTTCCTAACTGGATCTCAAACTAACTAATTTTAATAAACAGTTCAGTGTTGCTGCTTTGGAGTTTTGCTGTAAAAGAAAAGATTCAGCTTCTGTACACAATGAAACCGAGTGGATTATTATATAGGAAGTGATACATTGGAACTTTGCAAAGCTGACTTCTTTCTTTTCTTCTTTGAGATGCAGCAGTACCAACAGGCCCTTTTACAGCAGCAGGCCCTTGCGAAGCAGCTGCCTCCACCGAAACATTCTCCTGAATTTCTTGCCTCTCCTCAGGAGTTCTCACCAGCCTTAATGTCGCATTCTAAATCGTTTCCTGCTCATGTTGGTGCAGCTCTGGATACCCCATATACTGCTAACAGGCAAGCATCCACCTATGTTAACAATAAGTGCGCAAACATATTTTCTGTTTGTAGTTTAGTTCCTAGAGGCTGGGTCCCCCAGTCTTTTTTTGAGCCTGAGGACACACTTGGAATTAACACAGGTTGGTGGGGGCAAGTACAAAATGGCTGCTAAAAGATGCGGTGCCAACTAGTGGTGTGTAAGAAAATGTTTGCGTCTGTTTGGATTTGGGTGTTTGGGACCCAAAAGTATTCAGTATTCCCAAATATTCCCAAATTCCAGTATTGGTATTGTACTGGTATTCGAGTTAATAATTGGGAAACCTGAATATATTCAGCTCCATTATGGAGAGCTCATGGAGAATTTCACTCGCTTCGTCATGCGGAGCTGACTTATCGAGTGAAGGGGTTTAAACTTTAAACCCCCTCCCCTCTCAGAGTTGGGCCTCAGCTGCCCAAGGGAAGGGAGGGAGGAGGTTTAAAGTTTAAATCCCCTTCCCTTCTCTCTGGAGTCACAGACTCCCCATGACCTAAGTGGTATACAGCAGTGGTATACGGCAGGACCGGGCTATCAGAAAGGAGGATTGTTGGAGATGTATTGAAGGGTGCTACTGTTGAGTGCCCTTCTAAGCTTTCTTGACCTGTGGAAGGGAACCCAAAAGGCATTTAAATGCCTTCTGAGCTGTCTTTTCCCAGTTCCCATGATGCCCTCCCCAAATTCCGCAGTGGGGGGGGGGGAGAGGGAAACCTGAGGGCAAGCCACGGCACTCTTACCCTGGCCGCTGCCAGCAGCAGGGGTCTCTCCTCAAAAATAAGGTTCCTAGCATGGCTATTTGTGGGGCAGGGCTTTTAATTAAGGGGGTGGGTCCCCACTGTAGCTACAGGCCTGGGTTTGTTTATTTGTTAAACTTTTATCCCGCCCTCCCGGCCAAGGGCGGCTCAGGGCAGCTTACTACAGATAAAATTCCAAAATACATATAGATAATAAATACAACATTATAATGCTATGTTAAAACCAAATATAATAATAAAGTGCTAATCTAATGCGTCAGTGCCATTGGTCTTCATTGGATGTTATAAGAAGATCCTTCAGATGTCGTAAAAGGGGGGAATCTGCTTGGGCAGTTATTAGGGGTCCAGTGGACCGGGGCTCTTCGCCAAACAATGCCAGTTGGCACCAGTGTTCCCTCTAAGCTGAGTTAGTGTGAGCTAGCTCACAGTTTTTTAGCCTCCAGCTCACACATTTTTGTCTTCGCTCAGGAAGGAGGGCTCCAGAGCAAACTAATTTATGCAGGAGCCAAACCGCTCGCTCACAATTTTAATGCCAGGAGCTCACAAAGGAGAATTTTTGCTCACAAGACTGCACAGCTTAGAGGGAACATTGGTTGGCACTGCTGGTGGTAATAGCAGTGGGTGGTGGTGGTAGTGGTGGCGGCTCCAAAAGCCTGGCGGAAGGTTACAGGCCCTGCGGAACTGTAAAAGGTCCCACAGGGCCCTGGTCTCCTCTGGGAGCTCATTCCACCAGAGTGGAGCCACCACCGAAAAGGTCCTGGCCCTGGTCGTCGCCAGCCTGGCCTCCATAATGCTCGAGAGAACCAGTCGATTCTGGATCCCCGATCGCAGTGCTCTCTGGGGTACGTATGGGGAAAGGTGGTCCCTCAAGTATGTAGGTCCCTGGCCTTCCCTTCACTCGGGGATGCCCAAATAAAAGCTGAATAATATCGGCTTCTATTCAGGTGGGGCTATTCTGTTGAATAAATACTTGAAAAATACCGATAAAGTATTCGGCTTGGTATATACCGAGCGCACACCTCTAGTGCCAACCATAGAATTGTCAGGAAGTGAGGTTATGCATAACTCTAGTAACTCTTCAACACTTCAGGCAGAGATGCTCTGCTTAACAGGACACCTTTTAGATGAATGTGTTATATTAAAAAATTATTTTCCTGCATACGCACAGCTGACCTTCAGTCACAAAGTGAGGGTCCTTGTGCAGTAATGGCAGCTGCTGTCAAATCAGTTTTTTAAAAAGCACAGCCAGTCAGAAGCTGTGTTGGGTAAAAGCACATCCATTTTCTAAAAACACTTGGCGGGTGCAATGAAAGGTGTTGGGCCACATGGTGTCCGTGAGCTGCATGTTGTAGATGCGGTCTTAGAACTGATTTCTAGAGGGTATTTGGGTTCTTTTTTGTACAATACATCCCAATTAAAACGATTTAATGTTTTAATATCCTCTGCTTTTCTCCTCACTGGAGATCCAAAATGGCTTAATTCCATATAAATCCATATTTGAACAATCTGTCATTGCATTTTGGATTCTATCAATGTTGCCTTAAGTTGCTTTTGTGATCCATCTTTTTTACAGGTCATCTGCCTCTGATGCGGAGTCTGTTTCGAACTATCCAAAGCAGAACATCAGTAATCCCCCTGATATGTCTGGTTGGAACCCGTTTGGAGAAGACAATTTCTCCAAACTAACAGAGGAGGAGCTGTTGGACAGGGAGTTTGACCTTCTGAGATCAAGTAAGGGACGCTTGAAGGCTTATTTCGCTTCACAGTAAATAGCTCTTTAGGTACAACTGGCAGTGCCAAAGACTGTTCTGTTGAGGGGCCTCACAGTGTGTACGGAAAGGTCTTTCTGAGCATTTGAGGGCAGAGCTAGGCCCGCTGTCTCACTCGTCCTTCTGTTACAAAAAATGTGTGCAATAGCAATTCACTGTCTGCATTTGTAATACCACAGAAAATGTCAGCCATCTCTTGAATACTTATTTTTCTTGAGTGTGAGGAATATTTTTTAAAAACTGGAAGGTGTGTAACAATGCAGAACACCGGTCAGCTGCTTGCATTGCTTCACTTTGCACTTTGTTCTCTTGCACACCAGAACAGAAGTTTCCATGGGTCTGAGATGCCTTTTGAAAATGCCTGAAAGAGGGGAAAATGACCTAGTACATTATGTTAATGTTTTGTAATGTCTTTTGATTGGCTACATGTAAGGGCTGCTTTATTGTTCTGACACAAACAGTTGAATAAACTTTCTCTTCAAGTCAAAGAGCTAGTGTGTTTACTTGAAATCACGTGGTCTTCTACTTATTTCTTCATAATTTATCAGAGGAATCAATTGTGAGCAAAATATAAGAGATAATTGTTGACTTGACATATCCCCACCACCAGTAAATGGCAAGCTCCTGGCATATTTTTGGAAACTTAATTTTGAAAGCAATCCTTAATTTTCGTAGAAAACCCCTTCTCCGTTTTAAAAAGAATTTTTCATCTGAGCATTTGATGCTAGGAAAAATTATGTATGCACTGATTTAAAACCCTTTTCATGAGCTACAGTTAACATATCAGTTTTGGTGGGAATTCTTCTGGTGTGAAAGGCTTTGCTAATAAGCTGGTTACAATAGATGCTTTAAATACCAATCATTTTGAGCCTGGCCCTATTACTACTAAGTATGTCACTCACACTGATAAACGCAGAATGCTTTGGCTATATATTGAACAAATATAGAATGCTGAACTAAAGAACATTATAGGACAAGCGGCCAGCATCAATCTTGCAAGAATGTCCTGTTTTACTTTATATAGGTCAACACTTACTGACTGAACAAAACTGGAAGACATTAGGAACTGCTAGCTGTTTGAAGTGTGAGGTCAGTTAATAAAAGGTTCCACAGGATAGTACCTTTTTCCTCAAAAGGGAATTTTATGTAGGGGATCATATCAAGGATTTAAGTCTTTTTGTAAGCGTCATATTTTTCTATACACGTAATGCCTTGCAGAACAAAGGGGAATATAATGACCTCCCGCAACAGAATGAAGAGACCAAAGGATGTTCTAAACTTTGGTTGGTTATTAAACCCAAGTAGCCATGGGCTTGGAAAGAAGGATTGCTTGCGTTTATAACACTTTCATTTATGGCTTCTCTTGGATATGTTTACTTATATAAATTTAAAATGCTTTCTCTTGAAGTATTTTTGGGCCTTAGTCTTAGGAACACAGTGGCTGTGATTCAGAGCCTTCTCTTATGCGGGCTGAGTAAAACACACCACAAGCACCAGGATGTTTTCCATTGCATGCTGAGGATTTTCCTTTGGTAGAGCAAGGTGTGCCTTGGAGTGCACCTCGGAACTGCATGTCTTAAAAATCCAGTTTCTCTGCTTAACCATTTCTCTTGTTGCACACTTCTCCCAGAGTGCTTAAAGCACAGAAGAGATTAGTGTGAATTTTGTTTTTGTGAGATCCTGTTTTCCGAGGAACCATTACACCTGAAATTAGTTTTTCATTCTCAGTTACCTGTATTAACATCTTGTTGCTAACTACTTTTCTGAAAACCTTTTTCTATGCTGCACTGCTGATGACTGTATTAGGCTCCAGATTAATAGTGTGGCTAGAGACCTAATTCTGCATTTTTTGCACTGTTGCATATCCATTAATGCCACTCCCAAATATCGTTGTACTCCTGGAATAGCAATATATATAGAAGTGGGTCAAGTAGTTTCTGTGTTTATGTCAGTAAACTGGGATCTCCCCTGTTTCTTCTCTCCCATATGTGGTAGGTAAAAATGGGCACTCGCTTTCTTAAATTTTGACAAGTGCATTGATTGAATCAAAGACTTTCTCATACTCTGAGCTGACTCAGCTGAGTACAGTTCAAGAATCTGAAGAAATCGTCCATAGATCTCCCAGTCCTTAATATATGCTCCATTAAACGATGTCATTACTTGTGAGAATCTTCTGCTTTTGTATGCACTTCTTTGCACTTGAAACAGAACTATAAGACACAAACCTTTATAAAAAGCCTCAGTGTTTACAAAGGCATAACTACTAATGCATAATTGGCTGTGTGTTAAATTAATTCAGAATAATAAACTCATTACATGTTTTGGTCACCCCTGTGTGTAGGCTGCACTGTATTTTTAGAACAACCAGTCTTGTTTAAATACTTTTGAAAAAGCATAGTTTGTATGTACAAGAGAGAATTTCCTGTATTAAACATCACTTATTGAATGTTAAGTTCTTTTTCTCCTTCCTTTCTTGTAGCAGTGGGGGGGGGGGGAAGCTAAGGAAACTGTTAGCCGGTGTTTTTCTTTTCCAGAAGCATGGCTTAGCTGCCAAATTGTGTAAAACATTTCACAAGGAACCTTTTCCATTCACTCTGTTAAAAGGTTGGTGTTTACAACCTGACTTGTATTGTCCCTACAATGTATGCAAATTAAAAATATTTACATCTGGCTGTCTTCATTCATCACTACATACTACTTATTCTGTGGATACTCAACGCTGTATTTTAAGCTGCATATTGTGCAAATTCTTGGACAAACTAGGCTTCTCTGAGCAGTCGGAGAACACAGGAAAAGGAAAACTGAAGTCGTAACAAAGTGTTCTGTTCAGCGCTTTTGTTTTTAACCTCTAATGCAATCAGAGTAACCTTAAAGATAGTGTTACCCCAATTAGAACTAAAAATCTTAGTGGCTACTTGGAATGCCAAGCCACTTATCTTTTTGAAAACACTAGGTCACAACTGTAGAGATTTCTGAAAGGCGTGTGTGAAAAATTGGCAGGGCTTGCCTAAACACTTGTGTGTGCCTGGTATTGAATGGCAGACCATTCTTCCGTAGTACAACCAAGCGGAGGGGCCACAGCACTCAGAACAGAAATGACAAAAGGACAGAGCCAAGTGGGGGGGGGGGGGAGTTGAAAAATTGGCTTCAAAGTTCTGCAGAATCCCCAAAACATTTCAGATGTCTGTATTTTTCCTAAGGAAAGCTAAACAAGCTATATATCAGTTCTGATCAAAACAAACTTATTTGTGCATCGGTTACACAGTAACTAATAAAACTCCAAATTAAGCCCTGTTTGGATCTCCTTGTTTATAAAATCATGTTCTCTGTGGCTGCTCCTTATGCAGGTATTCAGATGTGTCTTGCCTGGGCAATTTCTGAAGGTGGTATTAGACTTTGCGATTTGAGCTGGCTGAATAACTGGTTTTGGGGTAGCTAACATTGAGGTTTTTGCTTTGCTGGTTTATCTGAAGGTCTGGTATCGAACAGTCTAGCCTGCCATAAACATGTGGCTCCACGACTGTCCCAACAGGATTCTGTAGGAACCCTATTGAAATTTGTACCTACGCTGGTGCAACTCCTTTCATTTCAGTGGGGCTTCTGAGAGGAGTGCATTGAGCCTATGAACTCGTATTTCAAGAGCAGATGTTGGGAGATTAGCTTCTGGGTGTATAAAACCGGCATGAAAGCTGCCATTTTTATTTTACTTTTTATTTTTGTTTTCGTTTTATTTTTGCAGACAGGCTCGTGGAGAGGAGAACATCCTCAGATAAGAATGTGGAGCCACATTCAGCTCCACAGAACCATCCTCCAGAAGATCCCTTTGGGTCTGTTCCTTTCATTTCTCACCCAGGCAAGTTACATAATGTAACATCACTACGTTTTCATGTAAAATATATATATATATATATTGATAGGAAAGAAATGGGCCTGATTAAGTGGTACAGCGTGTCCAGAAGAGGGCAATCAGGATGGTGAGAGGGTTGGAATCCAAGTCTTACGAGGAAAGGCTGCAAGAGTTGGGTATGTTTAGCCTGGGAAAGAGAAGGCTTAGAGGGGAACATGATTGCAGTCTTCAAGTAATTGAAGGGCTGTCATTGTAGAAGATGGAGCGGATCTATTCTCTCTTGCTTCGGATTGCAAGACTAGATCTAATGGGTGGAAATGACAAGGGAGTCGATACTGGCTAAATATCAGGAGAAACTTCCTAACTGTCAGAGTGGTTGAGCAGTGGAACAGACTGCCTCGGGAGGTGGTGGATGCTCCTTCGCTGAACATTTTCAAGGGGAGGCTGGACGATCCTCTTTCGGGTATGTTGTAGGGCTGTCTTTCGGCTATGCTCCTGCAGAGTGCAGGGGGTTGGACTAGATGACGTGCAAGGTCCCTTCCAACTCGTATCATTCTCCGATTCTATGAAATCTTGAAAGTCAGGTCAGAAGTGCCCCTGAGAAGGACAGTTTGGGTTTTCAACAGTTTGATTATTCCCACTGCGTATCTAACCCAGCGCAAAATCTGGGTATTTTTTATGTTAACTTAATATCTGCTACTTGATCCTCTCATTCAGAGGCTTTCTTATTCTGTGAAATACTTGGATGGATAACTTTATTGCTTTAGCCCTCAGACTGTTTCTGTTTTCTTTAACTGCACAGCAAATCTCTTCAGAGAGCCAGTTTGGTGTAGTGGTTAAGTGCGCGGACTCTAATCTGGGAGAACCGGGTTTGATTCCCCACTCCTCCACTTGCACCTGGCTGGATGACATTGGGCAAACCATAGTTCTGATAAGGGCTGTTCTTGAAAAAAGCAGTTTCTGTCAGAGCTCTCTCAGCCCCACCTACCTCCCAGGGTGTCTGTTGTGGGGAGGGGGAGGGAAAGGAGTTTGTAAGCCGCTCTGAGACACCTTTGGGTTGTGAAGGGCGGGGTATAAATCCAATCTTCTTCTTCAACCACTGATTATAGAAGGTTTGAGAATTCATTATGATAGTCACCATCTTAATTTAGAAAATAAATCTGAAGATAGCTTTTGAAATTCCTCTTGAGATGGATAAGCCATGTAAAACAGGTTTCCCAGTTAGAATTGTAGAGTTGGAAGAGGCCTGAGGCTGTCCAGCTGAATCTCCACCCAGTCTATAGCTTGTTAACGGAAATATCAGGCTCGATTCTCTACTATGCCATAACTAAAAAAACCCCCAAACAAACTCACACTTGCTGAACATCCTCTTAAAGCCAGTTTCCAGTGTCCAAATTCAACTTCAGTTTTTGCCTAAAACATCTTTAACCACATTCATTTCTGTTTAATGTGAATCTTTCTTCTTTGTCATTAAGCTGTTTCCGTGTTAGATAGTTCAGGGAAGTCCATGAACAGAGCAGATTCTTCTGTGCTATCTTGTACTCAAGGGCAAGACTTCTCAGGTAGATCTCTTGCTCCATTTTTGTACTGGCTCTTGCTGGATCTCCAGAGTTCCCCTGCCCCACTGTGTTATCTACTCCCATCTTTCCTTTTCTCTCTATAATAATGTCATTCTGTCTGTACTGCAGCCTAACCTGTTTCACGGGTGGCTTGTGAGGATGCTTTGAGCCAGGGGTGGCCAAACTGCAGCTCAGGAACCACATGTGGGTCTTTCACACAGTCTAATGTTGTTAAGAAGCAAATTTGCATATTTTCCAATAAAAACGTGTGTGTAATATTTGTTCATGTCTTGTGGCTCTCTAACATCTGGCATTTATTCTGTGTGGCTCTTATGTTAAGCAAGTTCGACCACCCCTGCTTTGAGCAGGGAGAAAAGCAGGGTCTAAATGAAGGAAATAATTCCCCTGCTTACTACTTGCCCCCGTCTCACTTGGCTTTTGTCCGATCAGGTCACATGATTCCCAGGATAGCCTCTTTGGTAGTCAAAAGGGACCCTTCCTCTCTTCTTTACCAGTTGGTTGGCTCTAACCCGCTATGTCTTAAAACGACACTTTGCCAGTAGTTGACGCTGCTTCAGCCAGACCGCTTTTTATCAAAAAAGTAAGCTTAATAGAGAGCTTCTTGACACTACCAAACAGTGGAGTTACGCACCCAGTGACCAGTCTCAATCATCCGAGCAGTTTGGATATCTCACTTTGCAGTGCTTCCTTTTTGCTGGCATCTCCTTATACTTCTTTTTTTTTTGCATTTAAATTTTTATTAATTTTTATCTTAAAGAACAAACAACATCAACATACACTTTCAACAACAATTATATTTCTGTGCTGTATATTATAGCTTAATTCTTCAGGAATCTCTGAAAACTCAGGCTTAGCATTCCGAGGACTGGAATTCAGCCAAAAAAGTCTGAAAAAATTCATTTTCCACTCTGCGTGGCTGGTTAATGAATGGGCTGTAAGTGGAACGGTGGGGAGCATCTTAGACTGTGCGACTAATGCTGTGTTTGCCTTCTACGCTGCCCAAGTAAAAACTTGCATAGTTTCAGAGGTCCATTGTCTTTGTTATGCTGAAAATACCAAACCATAATTTGCCAGTGCTTAAAGCCTGAAAGTAATTATTTCCATTTTGTCCTTGTTGGTTGAATTTCTGCAAGGGGAATATCTGATAGAATTAATTTGAATGACATGTGAAGCATAGGAATAAATACTGCCACACATGATTCTTAATGAGCCTCAAACATTTATTCAATATTTATAGATTGTTTTTAGCACAAAAGCACCAAAATCAGAGGGTTTTTTTTTGGGGGGGGTGTACCTTGTTCTGAATTAATGTTTTTTTAAGTCAGGTGTCCCAGGCCCATAATTCCTTTTCTGTTTTGCTGACAAATTTGACATGCTGAAATGCTACACTGAATTGGGGTAGGGTAGGTTTACATAGGGGGCCGCGGTGGCGCAGAGGGTAAGACGCTGAGCTGCAGACCGGAAGGTCTGTAGTTCGGCGGTTTAAGACCCTAGTGCTGCGTGACGAAGTGAGCGCCCGTCTCTGGCCCCAGCTTCTGCCAACCTAGCAGTTCAAAAGCAAGAAATTGCAAGTAGATAAATAGGTATCACTTCAGTGGGAAGGTAACAGCGTTCCGTGCGCCTTGGTGTTTAGTCATGCCGGCCACATGACCATGGAGAAGTCTTTGGACAGCGCTGGCTCTTTGACTTGGAAACGGAGATGAGCAGCACTCCCTAGACTTGGATTCGACGGGCTTTCGAGCAAGGTTACTTTACCTAGGTTGATACATAGATGTATATTCTTTCCACGTAATAATTGTAGGAACAGGGTCAGGGGTCATTTCCTGCAGGAGTGCACAGGAGTGGAGCTCCGGCAGTAAAGAGTCCAGGGGGTGGGCACATGCAGCAAGCCCCACCCCCTACTCCCAGCAGCCCTCAGTCGAGCAAGAAGCAACCAAGTAAGTTGCAGAGCTCCCCCCACTCCCCCGGTTCAAAACAGTCCAGTAGCACCTTTAAGACCAAGTTTTATTCAGGTACAAGCTCTCCCTCCTCTGCGAGGACAGATCTGCATGTCCCCCCCCCCCCCAATAGCTAGCAATCCAAAACAGTTCAGTGGAGCCTGAGTGGTGGGTGTTGCCTTCTGACACACTTCCGGTGATGTCAGGGGGTGTGGCATATGCAAATAAGTTATGCTAATGAGTTATGCTAATGAGCGCCTGCACCTCTTTTTCTACTAAATGACCCCTGAACAGGGTTAACTTTGCCATAGCACTTAACTAAAAATTAACAGTGCAGGTGTCCTTAGCAGCCATTTCACTAGGCTTGTTGGTTTACATTTCAGTTTGCAAAGAAGCCAAAGATTGTGGGAGGAGGAGACAAAATTTAATAATAGTACAGTTCCTTAGTATGCAGTATTTTGGAAGCAGGTAGGGAGACAGATGAATGAGAAGATCTAATGCATTGGGAATTCTGCCACGATCCACATAGGGTGGTGTATGTACAGTATTAATTAGCAAATATTGATTAGGAAATAGTATCTGGCCAAATGAGAATGCAAAACCAGCAAGATGTTGAATGAACTACAGTACAATTAAAAAGGGGGCGGAATTGCTAGTAGGCATTTCTGTGTGTGGTATAATTACAATAATCTTATCAACAGCATGTAGAAATCTGCAAGTAGCTTTGTACATTACAAAAGATAATTAACACAGCTTCAGATTTCTTCCTTTGTTATGAACCTGTTACAGCATCTAGTTTATTTCCTGTTGCTGAAACATATTTCTCGCTGCAAGTGTACAGATCAAAACTTGGGTCACCTAAGCAATGGGGATAATTGCACAATCAAATCTTGTGTTGACTCTTCTATATAGCTAAACCATCACACCACAAATGCCTTTTAGACACTACTGGACCTTTTGGCTTGAAATGCTTGAGGAATAGCCATACTAGTCTGATGCAACAAAAACAGCGGTTTGTGGCATCTGAAAGCCTTCTGATGTGCCGAAGGAAATGGGCTCTGATGTCCAGAATCGGCCACAATGAATGAGTCTTTAAGAAGCCATATGCTTTCGGTGTTCCAGGTGGGTGTAGCAGCTGTTTCAGTCTGTAGTAGTAGAACCAAATTCAAACCCAGTGGCACAACGAAGCCCAACAGTTTTCCGAGGTATAAGCTTTTGTGAGTCAAAGCTCACTTTTTTCAGTTGTGTCCCAGAGGGTAAGAACATAAGAACATAAGAGAAGCCAATGTTGGATCAGGCCAATGGCCCATCTAGTCCAACATTCTGTCACACAGTGGCCAGAAATACCAGTGCCATCAGGAGGTCCACCAGTGGGGCCAGGACACCAGAAGCCCTCCCACTGTTCACCCCCCCCCCAAGCACCAAGTAGCTGGGTAGCTGGGCTGGTCCACAATTAGAACTGCTAGGTTTGAGTCCGGTAGTGCATTAG